TATAGTAATTTATATATAGAACTGCGTCACGTTTCACTATAATCATTCTTCAGTTGACTGGAGAATCGTCAATTAAAATAAAATAAAATCGAACCTAAAAATTTTATAACATACTAAAAATGGTTAAACAAAAGAAAGTTGAAATGTGGGATCAATATACTATGCGGATAGACGAAAAGAAAAAAGAATGTTACAAATGCAAAGCATGCAGTAAGGAAGCAGCAAAAAATGCAACAAGATTACAGGAGCATTTGGATATATGTCCTTTGCGAAGTTCAATAATAAATGAAGCTTCGAATGTTAATAAGAAACAAAAACAGTCAACATCAGATAATAGTGATTCTGATCAAAGTGAATTAGAAACTTTACTTGCCTGTGCTTTTTTTACTTTAGGAATTTCATTTAATACAATCAAAAATCCAGATTTCTGCGCCTTTCTTGAAAAAGCTTGTTCTGCTTTTAATATCCTATCACATTTTACCATTTCTTGTTCTCTTCTTAATAAAGAACATGCCAATTTACAAGTAGCTATCCAAGATGTTCTTGATGAATCTCCTTACCATTGTCTAGTTAACAATAGTTGTACAAATATTAACAAATCATCAGTAATAAATTATATGATTACTACACCTGTGCCAATTTCTTATAAATCAGTTCACACATGTGAAGAACATTACACGGCTGAAAACATTGCTAATGTGATCGATAATATAATACAAGAAACTAGAATCGACAAATATGTTAGTATTATTACTGACAATACAAATAATATGAAGGCAGCCTGGAATATTTTAAAAGCTAAATATTCTGATAAAGTTTTTATTAGATGTTGGGCACACAGTATCAATCTCTGGGTTAAAGATGTTCTCAAAAATAAATAGGCTGCATATGTTTTTAAAAAAACTAAAGAGTTAGTTCTGTTTTTTCGTAACCATCTGATTCCAATGGCCATTTTTTGTCGTCTGCAAAAGGAAATTTACAATGCTGAAATTGCACTTGTTATGACTGTTAATACAAGATGGACTTCAGTTTTTGAGTGTTTTGATCACGTTTTACAAGTTCAATTTGCAATATATACAATGTTAGCTAAAGAGAATGTTGAAATAAATGATGATATTAAAAATATGATTTTGGATCATGAATTTTGGCTAAACCTTAAAATGTTATAGGATTTTTTGAAACCTTTTATTGATTTTATATACCGTTTAGAAAGTGATAAACCATATCTTTCTTCGGCATATAAAACTTTACAAGAATTAAAAAATACTATCATAAATAATTCACAAGTCCCAGAAGAATTGCAAAATGAAACTTTGCAAGCTGCTAGGTCTAGATGGACCAATATTTTATACAACTCTGCAGTTATCGTTGCATATACACTTGATCCACGATATCGGGGTGAAGATCTTGATTTTGGAATGTGGAGAGATATTATTAATAAGGAAGTAATTCGAATTGCTGGTATTGATAATGAAAATCAAGTACTTAATGAATTAGCTGAATATCTTGAAAAATCAGAAGGTTTTGCAAAAAACTATTTGTGGAATAACTTTACCTTAAAACCGCTTAATTGGTAGAACTTAATGAGTATACAGTATCCAATTTTAGATCAAGTTGCACAAAAATCTTATCTATTCTAGCCACTTCAGCATTTAGTGAACGCAATTGGTCTGCTTATGGGTTTATTCATTCCAAATTACGTAATAGACTGCTTTCTAAAAAGGCAGAAAAACTTGTTTATATATATTGGAATACTCGAATTCTTCGTTAGTTAAAAAGAACTATTTTAATTAAGGATCTACAAAATAATGAAAATAATGAAACTCGTACCGTATTTTCATGAAATAACGCCCACCTGCGCGTTATTTTGAGTATATGCATGTTATTTTGAATACACACATGGGCATTAATTTGAAACAATAGTTAATTTTTGCCAAACCGGATTTTTAAAATAATGTGCATATGCATTACTTTGGGATAAGTATTTTTCCAAACAGGGTCCATGTGCGTTATATGTATAAATAATGCCAAATAAATTCAGTAAGTTTCAGTCATCTCCTGGCATTATTTTATAAACAAATTTTGAAATGCTAATAAGCTGGAAGTTTATATTCAGTATTCTTTAAACTGCCAATTTTTATATTTTAGTGTAAGGTACAGTACCTTGTATTTTAAAGCTAGTTAAGAGTTGCTTAAATTTTTATTTCGTTAATTTTACATTCATAAAAAACACGCTTACACATATTTATTTTAAACTTATAACTTTGTTTAAAATTTCAATATTAGGATGCGAAACACACATAATTTCAAACTTACAATTTTATGTAAAGATTTAATGTAGCAGAATGGTGATATGACTTTCTTAAATAGAGAATGGAAAGATTTGATCAGAAAATAGTCAGCTTTAATTAATAAATGACTTTGGGTTATTCGTTCTACTTACAAAAATTTTTCCTTTCTAGTTATCTTTTTTTCTTTTACAAAATGCTGTTTATTGCATCTGGGTTCTAATTTATCGGGTTCTCAGATTCTTATAACGTGATCAAAAAGTTTATCAATCGATTTTATTTAAATAAGGGTATAGTACTTAAATTTTAGGTATTTGTACTCTTTCTCGAAAGGTGGGTTCGCAGCGATTATAAATCATAAAATATGATAGCGATCTTTATTTAAAAAAATTGTTACTAGAGTTAAGCACCTACCACTTTTATATTGTAAGAAGGGTCGAGACAATAATTGCATCAAACAAATCGGTAGTACAATGCTCTGAAAAGTACGTACGTACATATGTACAGTATATCTTTTTGAAAGAGGCATATATATGGGATTTCAAAAGAACAGCGATTTTGGAAATTTTAACCTCAATTAGTTAATTACGGCATCTTTATAAAATTTCTAAAATCGTAATTTCCAGTTTTTTCTTGGCGTAACCTAATACTACAGATTTGCATATTAAAAATTGTATTTAACTTGCTATTTTTCAAATCGCTGATTGATTTTTTTTAAAGAATGTTTCAACTTTGTAGAAATATATACCAAAATTATTTTTTTCAAATAAGACTATCCTTTATCCTTGTACTAATTTACTTACAATGCAGCCTTTAAAATATTATTACTATTACTGATAATACACCTTTAGCAAACAAAAATGAAACAGCCTACTGTATTATAGGCAGATATAATGAACCACTTAAAGATTTAACTAAGTCATCAAAAATTAAAGCAAATAATGCATCGGGCCTGAAAAATCGTGGAGTAGCTTATGATGTAGTATGCATTTTTTTTTTTTGTACCATGAATTTTCACGATATAAATGTAACTTTACTTTTATTAGCTTTGGTGTACAAGTTGTTTACTCCATTTGCAAGTAAACATGAGCACAAAACGAAGTTTCACTGTCGCGTTTAAGCTTGAAGTAATTTTGTATGCGGAGGATACCTCTAATCGTAAAGCTTCTCTGTATTACAAGATTGACCGTAAATGTGTTCAAGAATAGCGCAAGCAAAAAAAAGAGTTCGAAAAAATTAGGGACAATAAAAATTTTAATATAGAACAAGTGCGTGTACTTGAGGGTTGCAGCAAGAAAGCAGCATACCCTATGTTAGAAAAGGAGTTGCTGGAGTTTGTTAAAACAAGAAGAAAAGAAAAAGGCACAGTAACTATATCAATGATTATAAAAAAAGCCAAAGCTTTAGGTGAAGCTATAAAAATTGAAGATATGAAGTTTTCACGTGGGTGGGCTGAGCATTTCAAGAAAAAACATAAATTAGTAAAGCGTGCTCGAACACAGGTAGCACAAAAAGTCCCTGAGGATAAGCCTTTAATCATTAAAAATTT